CCAAGAAGAGAGCCCTGAAAATAGAAAGCATAAATCTTTTATACCTTTTCAAAAATGGCATCATAATCAGAGGTTACATGATTGGTCACATAGTTGAGTGTGCGTACTTAATAGCTAACATCCCATAATAACACAACACATTTTCAAACCATATGTGTCTGTGTCCATGACAACTGGTGATTTTCTGTATCTGGGACGCTTAGTGGTTTTAGAACATCTTTATTTTAGGCTTTATCTGAATACATATCTACGTCTCTGCTCCTGTTCTTCTGCTAGCTAACTTGCACACCTGATCAATATCTTCCTGTTTCAACTCTCTTGCAAACTTAACCACAGAGCTTGCTGGCATGTTCTGTTGAAGGATGCAAGTTCAATAGTTTATGACCCCAATCTGACTCTAACTCTATCAATTAACTCCAATTTTGCTGCCATCAATATTGTGTGTGTGCACGCATGTGCATGCTCTACTCCAGTTTGGAGTAAAGGAAGGGGCTGCTTTTAAGCTCAAAATCCTTTAAGTGTTCCTGAGGGGTATTTACTCTCAAAGGCACAAGCGAAAACATGGAGAACGGAAAGCAACAAACAGGAAGGAAGATGGAGCCAAAAACACTTATCCGTCCCTCTTTCCTACAGCTTTTCAGTTTGTTAGTGTACATCCTTCTTCAAAGAAGGCAATACTCCTTCCCCATTAGAGTGCCCACCCAGAAATTGCATGTTAGACCAATCCAAATATAACTGTAGGCTTTCCATTATGTGCAAAAGCCTGCACGCTCATAAATTTCCCCACAAGGGCATAAGGAGAGCTCTCTGGGCCTCAAAGCAAATCTCTCAGATGGGCCCCCTCATCTCACATTAGCCCTCCGTTAAAGAGTTAGTAGCTATGTTCAAGGAAGCAGATCTATCAGAGGCAATTTATTTTACTTCTTTTGATCAGTGCTAGACAAGGCCTGACAGTCCCCCCACCCCCGCCGTTTCCTTTAAACTAGTTTGCAGAAATAAGCCAGAGCAAACTGTGGTTTTGGTTTTTTGCTTGTTCTAAAAAATCATACTTTCCAAGTTTAGGATTAGCAGGGAACTTTGATTACTTTAAAGTGGAAATGAAAAACCCTAACCCTTTTGGTCTGAATTATGCATGTATCAAGAAACCATACTTTCTCCTTATAGTAAATATATGAAAATGAGTGCACAGCCTAGTCCATAATGGCCTCTTGATGCCTTAGTTGCACCTCTCCAGAAGTTACTATCAAACTGTCATGTGGCAGAAGGACACAATTAAATACATGGAGACTAATTGTGTGAATGATTAATAGCCTAATCCTCATGTAGTTCAAGTTAATTAAAATAAATTCAATGTGTTTTGTCCTGGCCCCATCCAATCTTGGTCTTTGGCAATGCAAGTCTATTCCTTTGCCAAAAAAGTTTTGTACCATCATTCTGAAGCATTATATAAATGTTTCCTCCTCTTGCCACCTCTGTCGATTTGTCAGCTATCACTTAATAATAAAGTTGCTCTTAACATACTGCAAAAAACAGTAAACTACTTTACTAACATCTGTCAGCTTGGATTTTAAATGAACTCTAAGAGAGTGTGGCTGAAAAAGCATGCTGCCTGATGTGATTTGTTGCTCAATTAAATGTTTTCAGTATTCATTTCCAATTTGTAATTAAATAATGAATTAGGTGAATTTATATGAAATAATTAAAGCCTTTCCTTACAAAACTATGCCAACCACATAAGTCTTTTTATTTATACTATATAATAAAACTAGAAAATTGAACAGCTGAAGATGGGCAAGGGTTGTCAGCTCTTCAAAGTAGACCAGACTAAGAAACCAATACCATATACTGTAGATCAGAAATATGTACTGTAAAACTTTAGTAACAGATTCTTGCCAGTCTGAATGTGCTTCTCCCCTCCCTCACTCTATCTTTGGATGAACTAGGGAGGGGCTTATCTGAGACATTTTCTCAAGTTATTTTCTTGGCCCAGACTCAAGCCCTGCTTAACTGACTGTTGTGTTGGTAGCAGCTCTTCCTCCTATCCTTCAAGGCCATTCCCTATTCCCTCTACAGGGGATAAGTTAAAACACAATTGAACAAGAAGGATCAAACTCACACTTAGAATGCTGGAGAGGAAAACAAATATTTCTAAAATCTTAACTGGGGCTGAAATGACCTCAAAGTGAGCACCAGGACACACCACATCAGCTGGGAAGATCAAGTTACCTCCCTTTTGTTTTCCAGGTCCCTTGGATGTACGATTAGCAAATGGCCCCAATTCCTGTGCTGGACGAGTAGAGTTGAACTATAATGGCTCCTGGGTCTCTGTTGGGGATTCTGGCTGGAGTCTTAATGAAGCCAAAGTGATATGTCGGCAACTGGGCTGCGGTTCAGCATTGTCTATCTCAAAGGGCAATGAATATGGCATGGGTGTCGGCCCAGCATTTCTGGATGGTGTGAAATGTAAAGGAACAGAGTCATTCTTTACCGAGTGCCAAGCCACAGCTGCAGGTCCTAAGAAATGCATCTGCGGCTCCTATGCAGGAGCCGTATGTGAAGGACAGTCAGGTATATCTCCAGTCCAAATTTTAGGAATGATGTTCAGTAAGAGAACATCATTGCAGCTCTCTCACTCTTGATTTCTCTTCTTTCCCACGTTCCAGGCTCAGCCAAAACCGCTGCAGTCATTTTGAGCCTGCTAGTTATTGTTTTGCTCATTGGTGGTGTTTTGTTTTACCTGCGGAAAAGGGGAGTGAAATTATATACACTGAATCCTTTTAATCGGAAGCGAGGTAAGAAGTTAACAACAGTTTTGTACGCTTGACCACTTTTGTACCCCAGATTTTATATGCTTATGCGCACAAGTTCACTATTTGCAGAACAGCTGACAAAGTCTCTTCCTTTAGATGTTATATTAGCTAGTGACCGATAGGAGGCACTACGTGACCGGTTTGTGTTTATTGGAAGTTTTCAGTTTAGGCATCCTCCATATGAGATGTTTTATCCTTTAACAGGATTTGAACCCACAGGTCTTGCACATACAGCACATTTAACTTTAAAGCTATATCGGCCCCAGGCCCAGGATACGTAGACCATCTAGTATGGAGGATACCTACACCTGAAGAGTCCCAATAAGGATGAAACCAGTCATCTAGTGCCTCCTACTGGTCACTAGCTAATATAATATCTAAAGCTATATAAGCCCCACTCCCTAATGGGAAGGCAGTCTTAAGGCCCCTAGCATGAGGCCCAGACCAATAAAAATCACAAAACTCTCTGAGAGCATGTAGGAAAAAAAGAGGAAGGTATACGTGCATAGTTTCTAAAAGCTGCCTCCTAATAATTATGTCCTACTTCAGTTAGTTCATTTCCTCTTGATTTTATATATATATATAGAGAGGGAGGGAGGGAGGGAGGGAGGGATCCAGATT